GTAATGGAATTTCATTAAATATATGATTAAATGGAGGATAATTATTTAATCATTCTGAATGAAGATTGATTAAATTTAAATAAAATAAATCTAATTAAATTTAAATAAAATAAATATTTAAATAAATAAATAATAATTTTAGGTATAAAAATCTTTCAAATATAATATAAATAAAACACAATAATCTATTTATTGAAATTATGGATCCTACAGGTGATCAAAGATTTCAAAAATAATATGAATCAGAATAATCTGTATATCGCCGTGGTATTCCATTATTAATTCTAAAAAATTGTTGAGGAAAGAAAGTTAAATTTACACCAAAGTGACGTTCCTCTCTCTGTTCTTCGACGAGGCAGAAATTTCATCGTAATTGACAATCTCGCGAAATAAAAATTACCGAATACAATGCAACAAGCAGGCATTGTGAAACATAATCTCTTAGAAAAACACATAATATAGTGAAGGTATTGAGCGAATTGATTGTTTCAAATACTTCCTGCAAACGACATTTACCCGCGAGATATGAAATTACTTTTTATTCGACTTAAATAACACGAAACGCCATATTAAATTAATTATTTATTAAAAATATTTTTAACTTTATTAATAAACAGTAATGGAATTTCATTAAATATGTGATTAAATGGAGGATAATTATTTAATCATTCTGAATGAAGATTGATTAAATAAAATAAATCGTTTAGATATAAAAATCTTTCATAAAAAAACAATATATTACGGAAATAAAATATACAATATAAATATACAATATAAACGGAAATAAAAATTATCGAATACAATGCAACAAACAGGCACTGTGAAACATAACCTCTTAGAAAAATACATAAGTGAAGGTATTGAGCGAATTGATTGTTTCAAACACTTCGTGCAAACGACATTTACCCGCGAAATACGAAATTACGTTTCACTCGGCCAATTAATCGCGATGACAGTGAACTCTGCGTTTAAAATGTCGCCCTTCGACGAGAAAAATTCTCGTGCTGTGCGCGCGCGAATGTTACTCCCCCGTCGTTTCCTTCGCCTCGTCGTCCTGAAAGAGTATCCGAGCCTTTTATCCGCGTCTGATTAAAAGATTCTTTGTCAGCCACGTCGAATGGCCCCGTTGAAAAGGAACTTATGATTTTCTCTTAACGTTATATACCGGATCGATCCGGGTTTTGCCGGAGCTTCGCGGTGCCTGGCTGATAACGTGGTTAAACATTCGTCGTTTCCAAGCGGGCAGAAACGAGAACACGGGGGAGGTGGGTAAAGTGGCGCGTGATAAAGCGAGGCTGCTTGTTTGCCGCTGATTTTGCCGTGGCAATGAAACACCGGGGGGGTTGGCGCGCGATAATGCTCGAGAGAACAATCTCTCTAAACAATTCGAAATGAAGGATCTTCGACGAGCTGAGTTTCGCTGAGATCGGACGATAGCGGCCATTAGTCAGACAGGGGCGACTTTTTTTTTAACACCGGGGGTAAAATGTCTTATGTCTTCGACTAAATCTAATTCTAATTTTGCATTAATTCCTGGCTATTCATCAATCGCTTAAGTACCATTACGGTGCTGGAGAAGAACAGAGAGAGAAACCAGATCGGAAATACACCGTACAGGCCCAATAATGTCCTCCAGGGAGAGAAGAAAAAAAAGTTCACATACACACATACACACAAAGGGATACATGTCCGAGAAAGGAGGAGAAGAACGAGGAGAATCAGTTGGGGCCAAGGGTGGATCCGATGGGTGGAAGAAGCGATAAGTGGAGGAACGAACGAAAAAAAGGGTCTGGGTCGCGTGAATCGGGGGCAAGAGTGGCGCAGGAAGATGAAGCAAAAGCAGGTCAGATGCATCTCTCCTGCATGGACGCAGGTCCTTTCGAGTTTACTCGTCCAGGCCAGAAGAATGGACCCCCGAATCCTTTTCGTTGGTAATTCGGGACCGGGGCCAGCTGCAAAAACCGTCGTCCCCCGTCGTCGATGATCACCGTGCGTTCCCTTACCCTCAGGAAAGGATACCGTCGTTCCACGGGGCGGAGGGGAGGGACAAATCTTTTTTTATATCTTAGATCCTGGCCGATCATTTTTTTTTTTTCTTTCTTTCTTTCTTCTCTTTCTTTTTCACGAACCCTTTTTCCAACGATGCCATCGGAGAAGCAGCCCGTTGGGCCCCTTTTTCGCGCAACTGTCGCCTTCTTGTCTCTGGCTTGTTCCTTCTCGCGTTCCTTCGTCCGGTAGTTTCTCTCTCTCTCTCCCTTGAGATTCGTTCCGAGGTGAATGGGCCGACAGAAATCGAGGCCTCGCACGCAGAACGAACAGAATCCTCGAGGATTGTTCGATGTTTTTCGTAATTGAAAAATCTCTAAAAATCTCGACTAACTCGGCGTGTCTCTATCGATTTACAATTCCACTTTCGAGTTATTGTATCGACTCGTGGGAAATTTTGTGGCAAATCATGGAAGCCCCGGATTATATTGTCCGGTGGATGGTTTGGAAATGCACAGTGGAGAGAGAGAGAGAGAAGTGAGAGAGGGGAACAGGTGGTGCAAGGGGTGAACTTTCGTCAGGGTATCGTGACTACTGGTCAGTTTGTTCGATAGTCGGTGCCAGCCAGCACGGATGGCCATACAGCCGGTGCGCCTCCGGGGGCCTTGGTACCGAGCTGTGCCAAGAGGGCCACCGGTCAATACCTTCAGACCTTCGGAGCACCGCGAAAAACGTAAGCAGAGAATGCCAAGCTAGGCTTGGTCTCTCTGGTCGAACTCGAGCCTCGTGCATGGTACCGAACCGTGGACTGGAAATAGCGTGCGATCACGGATCACGAGGTGGAACTTCGATGATACTTTGTTTGACAGCCACCGAGATTCCCGCCTAAATGGCACAGCTCGTTTAGCCATCTATCGGGAAATAGTTTTTCCAACTATTTTTCCTTGAGTTAGGAAATTTCCAAAGAGTCACTCGTCGAGTGTTGGCCCAATTTTATCGACTCAACCGACTGTTCGTGGGCCCATTTATTTATTTTAATTACCTATCCAAGCGGAACAACAATAATAATTTACCAATCGCCAGACCGTCAATTAAGCGTCCATCATCTGTCCGTGCCGCGTTCCATCGCGTCACGAGTTACCGATTTAAATTTACCAATTATTATCATCATCCACAGGTCGTGCAGCCACCGTTCGAGTAAAAAATGTCAGGCAAACGGGATCAGTCGAACAGCAGGTGAACAAATTCTTACTGTTAAACTGTTCACTATGCTGGAGCGAGTATTCCAGAGGGTAAAAATTCGTGTTAGAAGGCTATAGTAACAGTTCTCTCTTGGGCAGAGCAAGCAACCCCCTCGAACGAGAGGCGAGACAGTCGAAAACGACGTGACTTTCGAGCGTCCTTTCGACTGTACTAATTACCATCGACCGGGGAGTAATGAATTGTTTCCAAGCCTGGCAGGTAATAAATATCGTTTTCTACGTGCGCGGCGACGACGCCACGTACGCGTGTACGCTCTTTGTCTCGTATTTTAGTGGCATGCATGCACGGGGGCCGATACACGTAACGATGCAGCTTTCTATCGTTGGCAAACGGCTCGCTTATTATCGAAGATCGGATTCGCGTGCGATACACCTAAGCACGTGTGCGCACGTAACCGTGATAACGGGTGTCCCGATGCAACCATCGCGTCGATCGCTAGACCATCCAGTCTATTATTAGAGGCGAGAGAAGGGTTGTTTAGCGGGGATGCTAAATTTCTCGGCTTACTTACGGTATGGTTGGTTGGCTGGCTGCGTGCATCGAAATATTTCTTACATCCCGCCGGCGGGATATAAATATATCCAATCCAAGGGACAATTAGGAAACAGATTGGAGAATCGTTCGTGTAAGAATCAGAGTAAAAGTTTACAGCGATAAATCTTCTGTGTTGATCCTATAATTATTCGTTTGAACTAGTTGAAAGTACATTTTAAGGTATAACGCGATCGACCAAAGCCTGATAGTCTTTGTAGTATTTATTTATTATAGTGTTTATTATCAGAATTTATAACGATAGTACCAATAGTAAAAAATCTATCTTTAAATATCGTATTATCGTATCGATTCTGTAATTACTAATTGAAAGTAGATTTTATTTTAAGATATAGCGCGTTCGATTGATCGAAGAGTGAGAGACCGATGGTCTTTACATAGTCTTTGTAGTATTTATTTATTATAGTGTTTATTAACAGAATAAAAATT